TCATCTCTGGTGGTATAACTTGATTTAAACTGCATTATATATTCTATATAATTTTAGGTAAACACAAGATGATTCCTTATGGATATTTCAAACATTCTTAGTGATGTTTATTCCTCCTCTGTCTCTCTCCTTCTATGTTGTATTCCATCTCCCCTCCCCAACTAAGTCTCCACCCCATTCTCCCCTTCATATTATCATATTCCCCTTTGTAGAGCTGTAGAGCTCCCCCTATACACTCCTTTTCTATGGTCTTGTTTTTTTGTGGTTAGCCCAGATAATATCTGAAGAATATCTGTACATCTGAAGATTTGGGCCTAGGATCCAGAAATAAGAGAGAACTTCTGGCATTTGTCTTTCTGGGCCTGGGCTACCTCACTTAGTAGAATATTTTCTAGTTCTATTAATTTATATGACATTTTCATAATTTTATTTTCATTTATCTTTACAGCTGAATAGAATCCTACCATCTGTATGCACCATATTTTCATTATCCATTCATCAGTTGAAGGACATTTAGGTTCTTTCCATTTCCTAGCTATTGTGAACAGAGTAGCAATGAACATGGCTGAACAAGCATCTGTGAAGCAGGATGTCAGCCTTTTGGCTATATGCCAAGGAATGCCATAGCTTAGCATATGGTAGATTTAGTTTTAGCTTTTGGATTATTTTCACACTGATTTCCAGAGTTGCTATACCAGTCTGCAATACCACCAACAGTGAATATGTATTAGTTTTTCTCTTCATCCTCACCAGCATTTGTTGTGAGTTGTTTTCTTGATCTTAGCTATTCTAACTGTGATTGATTGAAATCTCAAAGGAGAGGATTATTATTCAGAATATATAAAGAACTCAAAAAATAAAAAGTAAAGAAAACAAATGACCCAATTAAACACTGAGCTATTGATTTGAGCAGAGAGTTCTCAAAAGAAGAAATAAAATCAACTAAGAGATATCTCAAGAAAGTATTCCTTATCCTCATTAATTTGAGAAATGAAAATTAAAACTACTTGGGGATGTCATGGTACTCATAGTATCTTTTAAGAATGATGTCTTGTCATGTGAATCATCAATCTATAGCATCTATCACTCTAAACATTTAACAGTACTTTCTGGTTATCCTTTTTATTTTTAAAACAGTATCTCTTATATCCTAGGCTGGTCTTGAATTTCTGGTCTTCTTGCCTCTACCTCCCAAGTTCTGGGAGTGGCATGCACTACCATGCCCAGTTTACTTGGTGGTGAGGATCAAATCCAGGGATGTATACATGACAGGCAAGCCCTCTACCAACAAATAAAACCTCAGCCTTGTGCAGTATCTATTACGTGTTCCAGTCTGCTGTTCCCCTGAAAGGGTGTCTCAGAACTGAATGCTGCTCTCCCACAGTTGTGTGACTGCTCAAATTACCTCTCTCTTTTGTTTGCCTCAGTCTTTTTTGTCTTTTTTTTTCTAACTTAAGATAGCATTTATGGCTTGAGCCATCACATTTCATGACCAATTCATCTTAAAACTTATATACTTTCAAAAGTGTGAAGGAGAAGACACAGATATTGATAAGACATTGTCCAGTGCTATATAAAATTTCATAGTCAATAGGCAGTCAAAATAAAGGAAGCTAATGATCTCTTTTGGCCTGTCTTCTCCCTCCCATATTCTTACGCCTGTTTCTTTATTTCCTTTTTGAAGGTCATTCTAAATATTGTCAAACACTAGGTCTGCAGGAGACATTTAGAAAATAATAAATCTCTTCTCCTTGTAGCTGAATATTTTGTTCTTTGTATTTTTCTGGAAAACACTTTTTCTGACATTGAATAATAAAGACAATTTTAAAAATCAGAGTTTGAAAGAAAAAAGTCAACAAAAATGTACAAATATAACAGAATTGTGCTTGCGAATAATCTATTATAATTTGACATGTTTAAGGTCAAAACTTAAGGTGTATTCCAGGCACTAAGTTTAACAATTAATAAATGTGACCTCATAAAACTGAAAAGCTTCCACACAGCAAAGACATCATGATCCTGACAAAGCAGCAGGCTACAGAATGGGAAAAGTTGTTTTTGTTTGTTTTGGATTTTTTCATTTTCATTTTTTTTTAACCAACTACATACCCAATATAATGCTAATATCTAAATATATAAATAATATATCTAAAATATATAAAGAACTCAAAAAACCTGGATATCAAGAAAGCAAGTAATACAATTTTGAAAATGGGATACAGATCTAAACTAAAAGTTCGACATCCTTAGTCACCAGGTAAATGCAAATAAAAACTACTTTGAGATTTCAGCTTACCCTGTTAGAATGGCTAAGATCAATAAAACAAATGACAGCTCATACTGGTGAGGATGTGGAGTAAGAGGAGCACTCATCCATTGATGGTATACAAACTTGTGCAGACACTACGGAAATCAGTCTTTGGTTCTTCAGGAAGATGAGAATTGGTCTTCCTCCAGATCCAGCTATACCACTCTTGGGCATACACTCAAAGGACATTTGAGAGGTAGTATAGAAACCTATAGTAGAAGCTTCCTCAAATAAATACATATATAAAGGCAATCTAAATGAAATTGCCAAATAATTGGGGAAGCATAGGTTCAACTGGACATCTCTTGTCACCAATTGAAGCTTCCAGTACAAGGAATGGGTTACATCTAATAGAGTTGTTGGCCAAATTGGCCCCATGGGAACCTCAAACAAACAACCCAGGCTGTTGCCAAGATTATAGTGTGCTACCCACAAAGTGATGGCAAGGTCCTAATGCTGAAGATGAAACCTATAAACTCATTGAACATGGAGAAGTTGAGATGGTGCCTACACAGAGCTTTTCCCACAGGTGCTAGTGTCTCTGTTACAGGAAGGTATTCTGCATACTACCAAAGGAGAAATGTAAATACCAACCCAGCCACAAACCCTTTGATGTACAATTGTGTCCTGCCTGTAAGATATGCCAATGTAATGATGACACGAAGCTTGTGGGAGTAACCAAACAATATCTGATTTGACTTAAGTCCCACTCCACAAGATGGAACCCATACCCAAAGCTGTTTAGGTGATCAAGAACCTGAGACTAGATAGCCCAGTGACCTAGGTTCAAACCAAGTACTACTGTTTTGGTTCTTTCTACTAAAAGAGCATGGTAGAAAAATGACCCCAATTGACATTCTGCTATACTTATAGATCAGTGCCATCATCAGAGATGCTTCCTCCTACAGCAGATGGGAACAAATATAGAATAAAATGCACACCCAGAAAATATGCAGAGAGTGGGAAACCTTGAACTACTCAGCCCTAAACAGGATATCTCTATCAAATCCCTCTTCACACACCCAGCAATAGTTGGCCAAGAGAAAATGAACTCAATGGCATCTTTAGTGGTTCCTTGTTTTATAATGTCATGTCAGGGCTTTAAAATTATATTTAAATATATATGTAGATATATATACATATATTCTCTTCTTTTACCTTACAGGTCCTTTCCGTATATATAGTATGGCTTCCAGTTTTGTGGGGTTTTTTTTGATTCCTGAGTGTGCGAATGAGTTATCTCTACATTTATATCTGTTTCTTGTGCCTTTTACTGAGCTCTTTTCCTTCTGTAATTTTCAACAAGAGGAAGAAAATAAGGTGTATGCATGTATAAAAGTATTATCATATTGATACACCATTCATATTCTACTGTTAACATTATGCCATAAACCTCTTCCATGTTTCTTCAGTATTTTTCAATCATTTTAATGGCTATATAATAGCCCATTGCATTGAAAGTGTGTTAATTCCCTATCATTAACTTTAAGAAAATACTCTACCAACCTACATTGTTCTTAATATGTAGTTAAATTTCGATATGCATAATAGAAAGATAAGCAATGACTTCACAATGAAAATGAATATATTAAGAGAATTGGGAAGCTTCTCTGGCATTCCTTTCCTTCTCTTTTATACTCATTACTTTCCATACTGGTTTTGAACTCCAGCATCATTGCTGCATTTTGGATATCATATGATGTTTGGATCCTTCCTTAAACCTTTTAAATGGGAAGAATGGGACATAACCATTAGCTGTTTTCTGAACTGACATCTCAGGGAGTGTGCTGTGTAGGCTAAATGTTTTTGTCACCATTATGTTAGGGGTTTCTTATCAGACAATGAATCTTGTCCATTCTCCTTTCGTCATCATTGACATCCTGTAAGCATTTGTCTGCATATGTTTCAAATACAATGTCCAGTTACTCTTGGATTTGCTGGCTAAGATCGTCTATATTCTTTACTGGCCATAGATAGCAGAGAAATTCATTTAGAATAATAGTTTGGAGCCAGATATAGTGGCATATTGTGACATATCTGTCCTTGTGAATCTGAAGCAGGAGGGGTATGAGTTCAAGGAGAGTTTGGGCTACATAGACCTTTTCTCAAACTAAGGAAATAATGGTTTCATTTTTCTCAAGTCCTGTTTCTTTACTGGAGTGTTTTTGTGCTTCTACCTTGGTTACTGGATTGTTGTACACACATGCTATTTTAGTAAGTTGCTTTAGCTGAAACCATTCACATCATTGGTATTCCCTATCAATAATAATAAAAACAACAACAGCCACAATAAAAAGCCCCACCTTTTGGTACTAGAAATTGAACTCAGGTCTTGTGTATTATAGGCAAATGTTCTAGCACGGAAGTATATCTCCATCTTCCCCTAATATTCTTAATACAACGAATACTAAGTACAATCTAGGCTCTGGAAAATGGCCCTTGGCCTTTTGTTGCTGTTACTGTTGTTGTTGTTTTTCTCTCATACAAACAGAGGGAAAACATAAGCATTCCAGAGTAATCATACTCTGAAGAGTTACTAATGCAACAGTTCCCTTCACTGGCTCTCCCTTTCCCCTTATGAAAATTGAAAACAAGTTTTACCTGCCTACTTCATGGAACGAAAATGATTCTCCATGTACTTAGGAAGCAGTGGAAGGGAGACCCTCACCCTGAGCTTTTCCTTTGTTTGCAGGGCTACCTGAAGCAGTGCCGGAAGAGAAGGGACATGTTCAGTGATGAGCAACTGAAGGTCATCTTTGGGAACATTGAAGACATCTACAGGTTTCAGATGGGCTTTGTGAGAGACCTGGAGAAGCAGTACAACAATGATGACCCCCACCTCAGCGAGATAGGACCCTGCTTCCTAGAGCATGTAAGCATCTTACTTTGTTCATTTTTAAAGAAATCATAGGGAGAACAGAAGGGTGTGTGAGCTTTCTGGTTCTAGTCAGCTGTGATGTACTGGAATGGGGTATGAGTTCTTAGATGACTGATTTTTTGAACCTTCATCTTTAACCAGGTTAGGAAGATTTATAACTTGTTTAGGATTATTTTATCAAGAGGATTTTTTTTAACTTCTCTTTTCCTTTCCTGTTGGGTTCAGCTTCTATGAGACCCAATATTTGGGGAGGAATTCAATATATTCACTGCATAATTTGAGAAATAAGAGAAGGTATAGTTCTCAAGAAAGTAGTTCCTGAAAGGTATTGAAAGGTCAGAATTAGAGTATGAGAAGTGTCAAGTATAACAAAAGGGGCCATGGGCTTAATGTAAACAAACTAGTGAGAATTTGGGACCTGTGTCTGAGGTTACTGGATAACTTTAGCTCTATCCATTAACCTGTTTGAACTTCAGTATCTTCATGTAGAATGTGAGAATTTATAGTGACACCTTTGTGTTTTTCTCCTTTGTGTATCTTTCATAAACAATTTAATCTAGCTTTTGATAAGGTACTTTTAATTTATTTTATTATTTTATGGGCATGGATATTTTACCTGCATGTATATCTCTGTACCATGTGTGTGCAATACCCAAGGAGGCTAAAAGAATACTTCTGATCCTGGAGTTACTGATGGTTTTGAGCCACCCTGTGGGTGCTAGGAATTGAACCCAAGTCTGCTGGGATATCAGCCAGTGCTCTGAACTGCTGAAACATCTTTCCAGCCCTGTAAAGTATTTTTTCAAGAAATAATATATACATGTGTATCAAAACTCAGGCTATACAGAACAAGTTCCTGGGGGGGGGTCTGCTTTGTTTATGGGAATGTGTGCTGAAGGGGTCTTCTAGACAACTCTTAAGTTCAGTGATTTGCTAAGAAATCTGAAATGACATAGTATATAGCTTATCAATGGTTATGCTTTGTTCTAACGAAACAACTAAAACAATCAAGAAAAGAAAAAGAAAACACCTGGCAAAAGATTCTAAGCATCATATGAAATGTCTAAGAGAAACTAAAGATTCTGTGTCCTAGAGTTCATGGGGGATTGATTATACAGGTACCATTTGTTTTTTGTTTTGTTTGTTTGTTTGTTGTTTTGAGAAAGAGTTTCTCTATAGCTTGGGAACCTTACCTGGAACTCTGTCTGTAGACCAGGCTAGTCTTGAACTCACAAAGATCCTCCTGTCTCTGCCACCCGAGTGCTGGGATTAAAGGTATGTGCCACCACCGCCCAGCTTACAGGTACCCTTTGTATAGCACGTGCCAAAATTTCAGATTTTCAGAAGGAAAGCAAATATTTTATATAAACCACATTGTTTTTTCTGTCTGGGCACAATGAGCTATTGTGAGCAGGACATGGTAGAGATCCATGTTGGTATTCAAGTTCTATGATGCTTGTGAAGGGTGAATTTTTCAAGTAGACCCTTCTACATATAGCACTCTCAGACCTGATATGATAACTCTTCTGCACAGTATATTAACTGGTTCAGCCATTTCAGATAGGACCTGAGTAGTTTTATAAATATTAAACATGTGCATGACCTAATAGTTCCATTCCCAAAATTATAGCTGAGAGATGTGTATTATTAGCATTCTTTGTCTCTGCCTACTAGATGTCAAGTATCATTTTCCTGTCCACCAGTTATAACAACCTAAACATTATTCATGCATTGTCTTATGTCTCCTAGAGGACAAGAAGACTCATTTTCTTTCATGCTTTAATCTGTTAATGTTGTTAATTTGAACTGAACAGTTTTCATATGATAAATGAATGTTATAAAACTGGGATAAATACTTGATTATGATAAACTATCCCTTTTAAATATTGTTTTGCCTTCAAAAATCACATTGTTCTGGAATGTATTTTATCAGATTTATTTGGGTATAACTTATGTATAAGATTCCCCAATGAGAATTATACATTGCAATGGATTTATTTTTTAGTAATTGCATGAAGTTATGTAACTACCATTATAAGCAAGAAGTGGTGGCACATGCCTTTAATCCCAGCACTTGGGAGGCACAGGCAGGTGGATCTCTGTGAGTTCAAGGCCAACCTGGTCTACAGAGTGAGTTCCAGGACAGCCAGGGTTGTTACACAGAGAAACCCTGTCTTGAAAAAAAATAAAATATTTCCATCTCTACGTCAAAGGTCTTATCCTTCTTTTATATTTTAACCCCAGGTTCCTTCAAACATTGATATGCTTTCCATTATCATATTACTGCTTTTTCTAGAATGTTATATAAATAGATCTTTTGTATTTGTCTTTTTTCACTTAATATAATGCCATTCATGATGTGATAATTGTACTAGTAATTGATCCTTTTTACTTGTTCACCAGTTAGTGGATATCTGGGTTGCTCCCAGTTAAAACACTTATAAAGCTCCTATGACTATTCCAGTGTAAGGTTTGGCGAGAACATAAATTTTTATTTTGTCTTGGAAAAATAACTAAGATTAGAATAGCTAGGTTGCATGTATGTTGCAAATATTTCCTTAATTTTATAAATATAAAATGTTTCCAATGTTATTGTATTTTACATTTCCACTACTAGTATTATAAGTGTTTCAGATGCCCTATATAATATAATTATTAACATTTTATATTATCAATTTAAAATGATCTATCATTCTATTAAGTAGAAAGTGGTGTCATTATGATTTTAAAGAATTTTTAATTAATTTTTTAGGTCAGCATAAAAAAACAATGAGTTTCATTATGGCATTTTCATACATATGTGTTATTATACTTTGTCCTAATTTGCTCCTCTCTCTCATTGTCATCCCCTGGGGCTCCTATATCCCTCTGTCTGGTTTCTTTCCTTCCTTCACTTTGTCTACCTTTCTCCTATCATGCCACATGTATTCTATTGCCCTCTCTTTTTCCATTTCCCCTTAAGATATCTCTGACTCATTTTATTATCTGCTTTCTAGTTTCATGTCTCCCTGCATATAATGTATGTGTGTGTATATATGTATGTTTTCATATGTATGTATGCATGTGTATATGTATGTATATTTATACATGTATGCACATATATACATATGTGTACACACACATATATACACATATGTGCATACTTCCTCATATAATATCAAGATTCATTATATTAGAGGAAAATATGTTTCTGGCTTATTTCACTAAGCTTAAAAGATGATTTTCAGTTTCATCTATTTTCCTATAAATGTTCTGTTTTCATTTTTATCACAGCTACCTAAAATTCTATTCTGTATTAGTGCCACATTTAAAAAATCATTCATTTATTGATGAATATCTATATGGATTCCATTTCCTGGCTATTGTGAATAATGCAGAAACAAACAACAATATGCAGGTAGCACTATGATATGTGCCATATTGAGATAAAGGCCTTTAGGTGTATACCAGCAAAAAAAATGCAACTACCAAGTGACCCAGTGATACTCCTATTGCTTATAGACCAGCAGGGAATAACAACTACTTTCTCCACCTCTTTACTAGCATGTTTTGTTATTTGATTTTTTAAAAATTTTTTTATTTATTTTTGAAAATGGCAAACAATGTCTTCTTTTACCAACGGGTTATTCGACAGCATGCTATTTAGTATCTCAGTCCATTTTATGTTGCTATAGCATGATAACTTATACAGAAAAGAAATCTGTTTCTTGGAGATATGGAAGCTAGGAATACCAAAGCATAGTCCTGGCACAAAGTAGGGCAGGGGTCTTCTTGTTACATCATAGTATGGTGAAGGACATAGGAGCACACATAAGACAGAAAAGATTGAGTCAAACTAACCGCCACTATAACCAACCCACTTTTGCTATAATGGCACTTTAGGGGGGCAGTGAGGGAACATGGAGGCTCTTAAATATGTCACTTCTTTATTTTGAAGATTTATTTTTATTTTAAAATTTATTATTTAAAAAGTAGCAAGTAAAAAAATCACACACTATAATTAACAAGACCCAAAGACTCTACAACACAATAACCTTCTTAATAATATTATAATGCCAATTAAATTTCAACATAAAATTTAGAGTGTGAATTCAAATCATGGTATCACATGATACCGAGATACAGAAAAGCTGGGATTAGGTTGTTTGGGATTGCTTTTTTTATTTAAGATTTTTTTATTCATTTTACATACCAACCATAGATCCCCCTCTCATCCTTCCTACTGCTGCCTCCCTGCCCCCCCATCCTCTCCTCCAAAAGGGTAAGGCCTCCCATAGAGAGTCAGCAAAGCCTATTACCTATGGTGGAAAGCCTTGCTCAGTCTTGACTCAAGGGGGAGTGGCTTGGTCCTGCCTCAACTGAATGTACCAGGCTTTGTCTGGGCTCTCTTATGGAGAAGCCACAGTACCCTGAAGCTCAGCTTGTTTGTTATATATATGGTTAAACCGGGAGGTAGGGTTATTACATAGGGCTGAACAAGGAGGCAGAGCTTAGGTATACAGTTGAACAGAGAGATAGTTTTAGCTTATCTCAATAGGAGCAGTCTCTTTAGGAGAGCAATATTCAAGCTGTAAATATCCAGGGAGAGAAAGCTACAATGGACATTTTCTGCACACACTGTCAACATTCACACTTGGACCAGAGGAAGGCATGGGGAAGGCTTTGCCACTCCCATGGGTATGAGGCGTTGGGGTCCTTGTGGTCATGTGCACGTCAAACAATACATACATTCACTCAGGACTTCTATGGCACCCTACACCACCCCTTTTCTTATACGTTCAGAATTTTTCTATATGTTTAGTTCAGAGGCAGCATGCTGCCATTCTTTACGCCAGACTTTAAGGATGATGGAAAAGTAAGAACATAATAGCTTTTTCCCAGTAAAAAGAAAAGGAATAGTTTTACAGGTTAAAGAGATTGAAGTCTCAAATTGTGTCAAGGATTGTTTTTGCAGTATTAACAGGAGAAACCAATCTGATCAAAAGCACTTTGCT